ACCATATAAATGACAATTTTAATGAATCAATCATGGTGAGGCTTCCACGAAAATAGTGAAAAGCTTCATGTGCCACTCACTTGGTCAGCCACAAACCCAAGCCACGATCCAGAAACCCAGACCCTCCAAGCTCACTGGCTCATCACAGAACAGGATTTAGGCAGAGAGAACTCTTAGTGAAAAAAAGGACAGGTTAAGTGAAGTCCCTGGTCTGCTCTCAGCCTCTGCTTCACAAAGGGGTTCCCTTTGGGCAATAAATGCTCTACACTTTCTTGCAAATTCTAAAAACTGGTAGGAGTAGGTTACCTTTTTTTGAACGTTTCTCCCACCTTCCCCTTCAAATTGTCTAAGGAAAAACGCAGCAAGAACAGGAATACTACTACTGCTATCTCAATACTACAAAAACCCATTTGCTGATGTTCTGTTTCAGGCAAAAGATGTGAACGCAGTGAGGCAGAGCAGCACCCTCAGGAATTACTGTGAGTCTTAAATTGGAGAACCTGTTTCAGCCACTTTCCACCTAAGTGATTTGATCTCAGAAGAGTTATTGAAACTCTCCAAGCCTTAGCTTCCTGATCTCGTAAAATGGGGATGAGTAATGTATGCACATCACAGAACTGTTGAGGATTGAGAAAATCCACATAAAGTGCTAAATGTAACTTCACAGCAAAAGCAAATTAAATATTAATATGTACTAAAATTATTGTTCCTTCCTCCCCTAATACACATCACCAACACAGCTGGCCCAACCCCCACTCCCACCTCCCAGGATCCATTACACTCTCTCATGCACAAGACCCCCAGAAGCCACCAGCACTACTGCAAACCCCCACTCCGGCTGGCTAGAGCCCCTCAGATGACCGTTATGGGTGCACACTGACCTGAGATGCCGCCTCCTATCACGACAACGTCGAACATGTGGCCCCTGGTACTCGCCTTCTCTGGACTCGCCATGCTCTGCTTGCTACTGTCCCGGGGCGTGGGTGTAGGAATGGGGCCGGCCAAGAGCCGAGCGGACCCTAGTACGGACACTCCAGGGGAGTCCAGGGGTGGAGATCTTGATACCAACACCCGGGGGGAGCCAGGCACTGAGGGCGGGGCAGACCCTGGTGGAGCAGATCCTTGTACGGATACTCGGGGGGAGCCGGGCACGGAGGGCGGAGCGGACACTGACCCAGTTACTGGCCCTCGAGGGGAGGCCAGAGGCGGAGCAGATCCCTGCGGGGAGCAGAGCACGGAGGGCTGGGGAGACCCTGGTACTAACACGCGGGAGGTCTTCGAGACCTGAGCAAAGCCTTGCACTGAAATCGGGGGGAAGCTGGGCGCGGAGGGAGGGGCGGACCCTTGTACTGACACTAGGGGGATGTTCCTTGGTGTAGGTGGTACTTGTATCGAATCCCGGGGGGAGCTAGGCATTGCAGGCGGGGAGAGCCCTTCTACTGACCCTACGGGGATGTTCGAGGGTGTAGGAGATATTTGTAATGAACCCCACGTGGAGCTGGGCACTGAAGATGAAGGGAGCTCTTCTACTGACCCTACAGGGATGGTCGTGGGTATCGGAGGTATTTCTATGGAATCCCGGGGGTAGCTGGACATCGAAAGAGCGGTAAGATCTTGTACCGACCCTATAGGGCTGTTCAGGGGTGTAGGTGGTACTTGTACTGGCATCCAAGGGAAGCCGGGTATCGAGGACCTCTCCGGGTTGGGGGATAGGGAGGTGCTATAGGAACCACTCGAACTGGTGGTGGCTGACATGGGGGCCCGGTCTCTCAGACCGTACGCGCGAAAGCCCCAGAGTACAGGTTTGGAGTCAAGGTCAACACTCGGGCCAGAACTGGAGCTCCCGGAGCCAGACGCGTCCACTGTGGACAAGGTCGACCTAGAACTAGTCTCCCACTCGGATGTCATGGACGCGTCCGAGACCTGGACAACTTTGTCCCGGGCTCGGAGAGCGTCCTTTTCCTCAAACTCCCGCTCGCTGCCTGGGGAGGCCGCGGGGCGGTTGTTACTGCTCATGGTTTTCGAGCTCCGCCTGTTCGGTTTCTACCCCGCCCCTCCGCTGAGTAAGCTCCCCTCTTGGGGTGCGATATGCCTTGCCTGGGGTGCCCCTGGTCCGTTCTTTCAGTAGGCCCGCCCCAGGAGCCTAGCCCACTGGCGGGCAACCAGAGTCGAGGGCGTAGGGGCGGCCTAACTCCGCCTTCTTGTGAGACTGCCGCGAGTGCGGTGAGGTAGCCTTTGCGCCCAAAGTGGGCGGGCGACGCCACTGAAGGGGGGGGGGCGCGGTGGTCGGGCGAGTGCCTGAGAGCGGGTGTGGGCGTGGCTACGTAGAGCGCCTTAACCTGGTTCTTTCATTTTTACGCTTTAACTGAAAGAGGCTTGGGCCGAGCTGGTCTTAGGGAAGATAGTATTTAAAGGAAAAAGAACTAGCAAAGGGTATGAAATCAGTGAGGCCGCTGTCCCACTTGGTAGGGTCCTTTTGTGACGTCACACGGGGGCCTAGTTGGTCTGCGCAGCCGCGCACCTTCCCTGAGGAGGGGGCGTGATGACGTGGACCTAACGGTCCTGGGGGAGACATGGGAATTAGTGGTTCAAAGATTTTTCTCAAAGTGAAGTACTTAACCAAAATTGAATGAAGTAGGCAAGAAAAATTAAGATTAAGTGAGACCTGCTGTTTAAAATCAAAGGTTAAGAGATGGCTAAGGTGCAGAGGCATGTTTCCCTATCCTATTGAAAAGAGTGGTTTTTAGTGTGTATATTTTATTGTGAAGCTTCGTGCTTTGCTAATGATTACTTTCTAAAGTTTCCACTCTTACTCTAAAGCTGAATTTGTCATCACTGAAACTATCAATAATAGATGTAATTATGGCATGCCTTAAGTAGGTGTTGAAAACTCGAGGAAGTAAACTAGATATCCGTTCCCATCTGTAAACATTTTTTCTGCCCGCCCCCATACTGTACCAAACTTCTTGTTAAGAAACTAAGGAAATAGAGATTTAACTCTTTATGTTTTAATAGGAGCTCTGGTGGCATAGTGACCAAGGCTTTTGACTGCTAACCCGAAGGTTGGTGGTTCAAACCCACCAGCCACTCCTCCAAAGGAAGTTTGGGCAATCTACTTCTCTAGTGATACTGCCTGGAAACCCAAGGAGGGGTCGCTATGAGTCGGATCTGACTTGATAGCAGTGCGTTGAGTTTGTTTGCGTTTCTGTTTTAATAGCTTTTACTTCCCCAAAGAGGAATTGAGGCTTATGGACTAAATTGGTATTTTTATCTTAGACTCTGAAGCAAAGAGAGGAAAATAATAAAGAATTAAGCTTTTTGTAATACGATTCTGTCCATTTTTGCCCTCTTACCTGTTATTTTCATTCAAATATTTGATCTCATACTATGTACTAGGCACACTGCAAGTTACTGGAAATACACAGGCTGTTATAAACTATCATTGAACACATGCTTTTTTTAAAAAAAAATACATTTTATTGAAATATAATTTATGTACAGTGAAATACACAAAACTAAAGTGATATGGGTCAATGCATTTGGAACACACACTCTTGTGGAGGAGATAGAAAACCTCATGCCTAATGTATAAATGCATGTTCAAGTAAATTCTATGATGGACAGGTTAACAGTGGTAAGAAAGTGTTAGGGTAACCTGAGCACTCTGAAAGCTAACTTTGGGATATTGTTGTTGCTAGGTGCCCTCAGTTGGCTCTGACTCATAGTGACCCTGTGTACAACAGAGTGAAACACCGCAGTCCTGTGCCAGCCTCACAATACTTGTCATACCTGAGCCCATCATTGAAGCCACTCAATGAATCCATCTCATTGAGGGCCTTCCCCTTTTGCTTTGACCCTCCACTTTACCAAACATGATATACTTCTCTAGGAAATGATCCCTTCTAGCAACATGACCAAAGTAGGTCAGACGAAGTCTGGCCATTCTTGCTTCCAAGGAACATTCTGGCTGCACTTCTTCCTGGATAGATTTGTTCATTCCTCTGGCAGTCCGCGGTACTTTTAGTATTCTTACCCAATACCACAACTTAAAAGCATCAACACTTCTTCAGTCTTCCTTATTCATTGTCCAGCTTTAACGTGCATATGAGACGATTGAAAATACCATGGCTTGGGTCAGGCACACCTTAGGCTTCAAAGAGACATATTTGCTCTTCAGCACTTTAAAGAGGTCTTTTGCAGTAGATTTGCCCAGTGCAATATGCCATCTGTGTCTTGACTGCTGCTTCCATTGGTGTTGATTATGGAACCAAGTAATATGAAATCTTTGACAACTTCAATCTTTTCTCCATTTATCGTGATGCTGCTTATTAGTCATTTTGTTATGTTGAGGGGTAATTCATA